CCCAACAAGTCAGTGAGTTGCTTTTGCTATGCTGGATCTAGATTGTCAGTATAATCATCAGTTAACACCACTAAACTTGTCAGTAGCCTCTTATATGCTCTTGGTGCAATGGATGCAACCCTAATCTTACCACAAGCATCAGTTAATTCCACTTTGCTTACTTACCTATAACCATTATAGCATCCACCTGAATAGCTGATTATCCATAATTACAAAATAACACCAAGACTTCATTCTTTGTTAGTTGATCACTGCTCTAACTAATGCTCTCTGCTTTTTGAACAGGAAATAGTTTATTCCATGTGTGGCTTTTATAACCCTAATATATGGCACCAATGCATTATACTTTATGTAGATTAATTCATGGTACACAACTTCTATACATGGAGGTACTGTATACACGTGTGCAATCCACTTTCTTGAGCTTGATCTTGGTAGCATTGTATAACTTTTCCATGAAACATCAGCTCACTCAATACACAGGAAAACCGATTAATGGACTTTGTAGTAATTTCCTCCAAAGATGATCTTGTTTATTGGAAACAACCACTTTCTTTCTATGGGTGATACCTCCTAGACTAGGCTGGAGGTTCATTTATCTTCTAACATTTAGTCTATCATTATTCTTCAGAAAGAAGTCAGTATTTACTGTCCATAGTGATGGTCTCACTGGGTGTTTGAAAGATAATGAGTATCTATGGTTTCTGCCAGTCCTGTTCAACCAGAAACTTAACCTCTCACCATTGCACCCTTATTGGCACACACCAGGCTCCATTCAGCCTTGACAACTGATCTCTAAATACTCTGGCTCAAACTGTCCACTGTGTTCACACAATCCAGTGGTTAGGCCTAACTTAAGCTCTGTTGGTTTTCTGGGGCATTTTACATAGCATCTACTACTTGTGGCTGGTTTACCCAGGCCCGCTAATTCAATGGCTAGTTTCAATACCCTTCCTAACTTTACTGATTTGCAAAGGGTTGAGGTTGTGGGTTGGCAAGCATCTGCTGATTCACCAGCTGGAACTGATAGCTTATCTGTACTTGCTGTGCTGCAAAATATGGGTACTTTATCCCTGAAGAAGAAAGGTCCACCCATCGAAAGTGCTCAGGTTATAGGGTTTTTATTCATTTCTATCAAGACTTCTTGAACCCTCGTGTTTTTCTAACATCATGAATGGATAGTTTCTTTGTTAGTGCCTCACAACTTCACAAACAAATCAGACATTTTATTCTTCCCATCCCGAATGATGTCCAGGTGCAAGTATCCAAGTATCCCATGGGCAAACCTAGTTCCAACATGTACCCTTGCATAGCTCTGCCCACTCACTAGAGAGAAGTTTGGCTGCCTAGCTTTTCCATCCTGTTGAGATGACAGGTTGTTAACACTTTGACTTCACCATAGACATGGTTTCCCTCAGAAAGATGATGTCCCTATTTCCAAGGTGCTGTCACTTAATCTCATTGAGTAGTCCATCAATGAATATATCGATCACGACGTCCTCCCAATCTACAGAAGCCATTTCCAGGATTGTCTTCCTATGCAATAGATGTATTTCATTTGGAAGGTGACCAGTCTCTCAGTGCCAATCTTCTTCTGAGCTTTGAATTCAACCAATGGATCACCCATTTCTCCTCTGAGTCGAGTCTATGATATAGCTTATTGTGATGGTTTCTTAGTTGTATTATTGCTCCTCTTCCAGGTGGTTGACAGTGTCAAGGGCTGGAAAACTAAGCTCAGGACGAAGCATCGTACAGCCTGCTCCTGATTTTATCTATTACAGGTACTGACCTGCCTGAAACATTTCAGGCATTGATCCAGGTCCTTTCCTCTATGGGAGTTGTTACGCATTACAATTTGAAATAGCCCAAAAACTGTAATTTTTCAATTGTAATTTAGATTTAGCAGTTAAATAAATGCTTATATATATCCAATTTATGATATTTGCCAACAAGATTGATACACACAGTTTTCTTTAATTTATACAAAAATGTTTTAATATACAAAGAATAATACAATTTACAATAGCAATTATTACAAACAGCTACTACAAACAATGAGTTATAAACAAAATTTCCACAAACTTACAAGCAATACAAAGCGTTCTTTCTAGTCTGAAACTTCCTTGATATCTTATCGAGGGTTCACAATGAGCAAGTTAATTTCGAGTTGACATAGATATAATTTATTTAATAGGGAGCGAGCTAGTTCTGTGGTCTTCACCGATCACCGTTTAGGTTAGGTAATGTTTTATAAAAATAGTACTAATGGCTGATGTGAATCCATTGAAGCTGAATGATTTGTAATGTTCGAAATTTATAAATGTTCATGGTCAATATACCTGAAGTTCCCGATTAATAAACGCGAATCACAGTTATAGCTTATGAAGCAACCTAATAATAGATACTGTTGTTTTTTGGTTTTTTTGGTGTATTGCGTTGGTTATATTTATAGGTGTGTGGAGAATTTCTCGAAACTTCAGTTTATGTAACAATACTGACGCTAACACTGGCGTATACGTACACACATATATTGTTGTTACGTCTCTGTTCGTTTGTTAATTTTCCGTAAAAATTCTTTCCGAAGAAACTTTAGCGATACAAGTCTTTTCTTAAATAAAACTAGTTTATTCTTTCTCAATACAACTTTGAAATTCACTTAATTTCCACGGTCACTCTATAACTTAAACAAACGCTATAATTCACAACGAACGACACTCGCGCTCGACCCAACTGTCCGTCTCTATCTCTGTCTGGAGTTCAATTACATTGTTGCCGTCACTTCTTGGCGGTATTATATACAAGAATACCGTACATTTAGCTAACACTCGAGGCTTCACGAAGGGGCATGATTTTTCTAGAAGTTCATGACGTGTTACCAGCGTCACGCGACTTCCGCTGTCGTAACATTGTTGATTCTTACACTCGTGAATCTTCTACAACTTTAGATAATAGGCGGAAGTTTCGCAATACATATTTAACAATATAAGTTATGTACATTTCTAAATATAAATTTAATTTAAACAAACATCGATATTAAAACAAATGTATAATAATAAATCGGTCACAGAGTATGATCCTTTTGGTCTCATTCATAGATCTGTGTGCCACGCCAGAGCCTCTCCCACTTATAATGCCAGCAAGAGTAAGAAGGAATCACGCTTTGGTTCCGGATGATTGCCACTCATAGCACTTTGACACCCCAAAAGGTGGTTGGACCCAAATCTAGGGCCAGTGGGTATTGATCTACTCCCAGCAGCTCATCATACAGACTTGCGCCAGTTCAGTTATTGCAAGCTGCAGTAGATATAATAGGAAGCCTTTCCATCATGACAGGTACTTCACCCTATGGATCACGGTCTTCACCTGTGGCTGCCTCACCTTCTGGGGAGACAACTTTGACTGCAGAAATAATTTCCCCTGGCCTGACCATCCCTTGAAAAATGTATCAATAGTCTCGACCAAAGCTGAGTATGTGGTGCTCTTTGTGGAAACGAACTGGGAGTTTGGTAGAGAGCTTTTCATGTGGTCTTGAACTTGCCATGAAACATTCCAGCAGACTTCATCCATCCATACTTTCTTTCTGCCAAGATCGGTTCTCAGGAGTACCATTTGTTCAAGTAGTGTGGGTGCACAAGATGTGATCAAGTAGTAATTAGAACAAGGTAATCTTGACCACTTTCTGGGCCACATGTTACCGTCATTCATGCACGAAAACCAAAAAACAGAAAAAATCTGAGAATTTCTATATTATTGAAGCAGATTGGAAACATATAATAAGTCCGCATATTACCAATGGCGGATCCAGGATTTTGAAAACGGGGAAGCACGATTATTCTGAACGTAAAAGTGGAATTTTCGGGATTTCCCTGGTAGGGGTTAAATGGGTTATTTAGATTTGTTATAATGTCTGCTAGATGTTGTTGTTCTTGCTTTTTTTATTTTTTTAAATTTAGTATGAAATTTCCCTACATTCTTCCCTCCTCAAAGATCCAATTTTTGTAACTATTTTGATTTTAATTTCAAAACGGGTTGGGGGGGTGGGGGGTTGAGTGGTGAACGGCTAACCGGGTCTATATCCGCTCTCGATCACCATATTAGTACAATTAACCACTCAACAATCTAATTAGTTAGCTTTTCCATAACCCCAAGTCGTGTAATTGTCGTAGCTAATCCTTTTTTGTTGTGAATGTGGTACCTTATCAAAATAAAAATCTAAGCCCACCAGTTCCACACCCTGTCCTTTGAGTATATAACAAATAACTCCTAGAAAAAATGTAACAATGTTGTAAGGCAAGATTTCCCCTTTTACCGAACTCATTTTTACTTTTATTTATGACATCACATTTCACTAACTGATATTGTAAACAGTAAAGCGTCTTGTACCAAAGCTTCTCAATACACAAGTAAGACTTACTGGCCTATAACTATAATTTCTTGGCAACTCTAATCACACTTATAAAAATAGTATCAAAAGCAACTGTCCATTACTCAGACACCTCTACACTCTAGCGATACAACCAAAATCAAAGAGAGAGTTCGCTTATCCTAACCGTAAGAAAAATCTTGTATGACCGTTTTTAATTTTCAAATTCATTTTCAGTCATTCCACTTATCACCAAGGAATTAAAATTGAAATATATACACGATTCAGGTTAATTCCAATACTTCCCATAGAATGCTATGGAATATTACTGATATCTTCTTTTGTAAAATAACTAAAATTTAGAAAGGATATTTGTTCGTCTAATGTTTACTGTGTTTTTACTTTTCATAGTGTTATGAAATCAATATCCAACTGCCTAGCGTTCTTGTTATGACATTGAGTTGTGGTTCTAATAGTAATACTAATGATGCATGTTGTATAATTAGAATGTAGAAGTAGAGGAAATTTGCGTTATATATTAATATAGTTTATTTAATTAAAGTAGACTGTGCATGCTTAAAAGTTAAATTATGCTTCCGTTCTGTGTAATTGTATGTAATAACTTCTTTCACTGTCTATTATTTTCGAAATATGTTTTCTAACTAGATTAATAAATTATTTACATTTGTCATAAGACTATAGTAATAGTATTACTATTAGTAGTGATAATATTGGGCTTATTCTGTTTTCAAACACAACATTAAAAATATAATAAACCTGATAATGATATTGCCATTGTGAAAATATGATCAAGGTAATTAAGTGTATTGAGGCCTTTACAAAAAAGAGAAACATTCTCAATATAATCAGTTTTTCTAGTATCTTTAGTTAATTTGGAAATATTACTTTCGGAAGCTTTTGAAATGTTGACATAAATAATCAATAGAGATCCTAAACCATATTCCAATAGTCACATTTCCTCAATAGGAAAAATGGCCATTTATTGATAAACTACTTTCTGCCACTTAACCACTTATCAATTTTTCCACTTATTCATTAATTGTTCAGATAATAATACTTATGTTGTAAGACATCTTGTCAAAGGTTGTCTAAAAGTCAAGATATATAATATCAACTAAATACCCTTATCCAAAAAAGTTTTATCAAAATTTCAAATTCATTAGACAAGAAAGCCCATTTTAAACTATAGAGATAAATATTAATCAATCCGTACTCTCTAAGTAACTTCCAATAGTGATTTGGTAACAACAGAAGCCTAATTAATAATCTTATAGTTTACCAAATCTTTACTTAATTCTTTATTTTCAGTAATAGGAGAAATGCCAGCAGTCTTCTGATCATTAGGAATTTTAGAATGTAAAATTAATTTTAAAAACATGTAACAATTAAAACCCTCAATAATTGTTGGCTAAGCTTCTTTAAAGTTTTATTGCTAAATCTTGTCAGGATCAGAATCTTTATTCTCAAGAAATTTCCCAAGTTTCCCAAAACAATTTTTTCTGACATACATTATTTGAAATTAAGAGCAAAATATCTACTTTTAAAGAAATTGTTTAGCTTCAAATTCTTTTTTCTCCCTCATCTTTTTGTATGCCAAAACACCAGTAAAAAAAGTACCACTTTCATCCTTTTTTCCATCTTCTGTTATAAGTTACTCTTCAAATTCTGTTAAATACCACTATTATCTTTGAATATTTTTTGCAAGTAATATAAACCAAAAATCTCATTAAACCAGATAAGTGAAAACTTTTTATTTCCTCAGCAGGTTCCAAAACAGTAGTCATAAATGCAATCAAAGAACTAATTAATTTTTAATAGTAGTTATTTTTAACATAGATATCAGTTTTTATCATGCTACTCACATAAGTGTGTGACTTCTGAAGTAAGTTCCCTGTATTATCTGAATTGATTTGATTGTAGCAATCTGTTTTTGTGATTATGCCTCATTAAGAGCAGTTACCATTTCTCAACTGGCTGCATATGGTAATTTCTAGGCTTAGATATGCATGTTGGATAAGATAAACTTTAACACTTCTATCTGCTGTAAAGTTCTGCATGTGAGCTTTGAAAACAGAGGTTGAATTTGGAGAACAGTTTTGTAAGTCTATTTTGATGCAGATATCTCTCTTACTAAGGTACATTTTACCCCCTTCCTAAAAAGATATATATATATATATATGTGTGTGTGTGTATTTTATTTTTCAGGTATTTGTTATGAGAGCAAGCGACTAAAGATGGTAAGGCTCAGCTGGCAAAGGATGTTTATTGCTGTAGCCTCTATGAACTTATTTGCTGTATTGTATATATGGAAAACTCTCGATAGTCGATGCTCCTGTGGAACCTCTGCTGTCAATGTAAATCACATTGAGATGAAAAGGAGATTTGAAAACAAGATAGAAAAAAAAATACCATCATTTTTCATGTGGAAAACAAAGTCACAGTTTATACATCACAATCTGTCTACAGTTGTGGAGAGTGATGTAACATTTGTTTTATATGAATTTGAATTTTTTGAACATAATCTTGAAGAAACTGTCAAACATTTATCAGAAATTTACCCCTTAGTCCCAATTTTAATCGTCAGTGACTTGGTTCCATATCCCCCCTTGTTGTTTTTAAAGACTATGTTAAATTCTAATGTTCAGTTAATATCTTTAGATCCAGGAGCCAATAAGTCTTCTACCATGACCAGTCTTTACTACTTCATTAAGACTAAATATGTAGTGTTCGTGCCAGATGCTTCGCGCATGACATCAACTGTTTTGTCAGAACTTCTGCAGTTTTTTCTTTTTCTTCCAAATGGACATTTAGCAGCAGCTCGTATTAGGGGTCAAAAGTCAATTTGTCTCTCCCTTGATGTTGATCTCAAAAGATGGACTCTTACTTATAGGCAGAATGTTGGCACCAAAATTTGTGATTCTCTACAAGGTAAACATCTTCTTATATGGAGAACACATCAACTCCTTGACTTAAACCAGCCTTTGGTTCAGCCCTTTCCAGAAGCATTGTTCATCCAAACAACAAGCAGAAACCTTAAGGTATGTTCTGTCCCTAAAGTTCTACAGAATTATTTTTACTTTTTAAGCATCTCTTCTGAATTACTACTTCCAACATCATTTGCTCCTACATGCTTCTTGGTACAAGCAACTAAACTGTCAAAATGCTATTTAATGTTTTTTACTTTAGCACCTGGCAAAGCAAATTCTAGTCCTAGTTTTTTGTGATTCTAATTACAAACAACCTTATCAGTGTACCTAATGAAAGAATACCTTAATATTTCACCTTTTGATCATCTCTTTCCTCAATGCAAGTAGCCAAAGATTTAAATTTGCTACAAACTGCTAACTAAACCTGCTTCTAAAGCCATAAATTTTTTACTTCTGTGTACCTTTGTAATTATAATGTTTGAGGAACAACAAGGGCTTCTTTGTCCTCTGTGAATGTCCCATTCATTTCATTAAATATGCATCTGCCTATATCAAGCCCTTTCTTGAACTCTCCCAATCTTGAAGGCAATATGTTTTAAGGGCTGACCAACATTATTTGAAAAATAAAACTGCTTAATTTGCAGACAATTTCTACCCTGCTAAATTTTAAATTTATGTTCCTTAGTTTTACCATTCTAACCTTTAAATACACAAAACAGATGATGGATCAATCCTCTATACCATTTATATATTTGAATACTTCAATCATATCCCATCTGACCCTTTTTTTTCAAGAGAAAATAATTTTAAGGACCTTATGAGACAGCATCTCTATCTCAGGAATAATCCTAGTACCATTCCTCTGAACACTTTCTGACAACTCAGTGTTTTTTAAAGTGTGAAGACTAAGCACATTACTCTAAGTGTGGCCTAACCACATTGATTTATATTCAATATTTCTTTAGATACAATCCAAAATCCTATTTACTTTCGTATTAACAACAATACCCTACCTGGAAGGCTTAAGAGACTGATTGAACAAAACACTAAAATTCTTTTTTACATAACACTATTGAGTTGATTTTCATTGAGATGGTAATTATATTCTAAATTAAGGTAGCCAAATGCATTATTTTTCACTAAGTATAATTTAATGCCATCTACTATTTATTTGCACAATATGCCAAATAATCCAAATGTATTTGATCAATATGTTGACCATTCCATTATATATCATTATTGTGTATCAAAATAGAGTAAAGGCCATAACACAAAGCTCTGAGTTACCTCACTGCAATCCAGTTTGATAGAACTCCACTTATTACAACATTTTGCCTCTTCTCCTCTAACCACCCCTAACACATTGAACTAACTTATTCCCCACACCCACAGATACTTTTCTGAAATAGTCTTTTATGTGACAATTTGTTAGAAGCCTTCTGAAAATCCAGGTATGCCAAATCATCATGTTTACCCTCATCAGCATAACTTGTAATATCTTTGAAGAAGGTCAAAAGATTCATGAGTCAAGATTTTCTCTTTGTAAATGAATGCTGGTTGTCCAACAAAATGATAAACTTTGTTAGATGGCTTTGTAAAACATTCTTAACCAGTATCTCCAAAACCTTTACCACTACTGAAATAAGCATAATTGGCTTATAATTATTCAGACAATAGTTTTCACCTCTCTTAAAGATAAGTGTAACATTTAGCCAGGTTTCACTTTTGTGGCACCTGCCCACTATTTAGAATCATAGCCAATTTAAACACACTCCTTCTCACTCTCTCTCCAAAAGCAACATTACCCTAACTATATCTTTTTCTTGTTTTGCTTTTTTGATTTATTTTCCAATACCAGTTTTAATCTTGGCTTATCCAAATTAGACATCAGATATAGTTTTCATTCAGGATAGAAAATATGTACAAATTTGATATCAAATCACACACTAGAGAAGCAGTAAATTCATTTAAGTTTCTTGTCCTTTTGATAATGTGATAATTCCTGATAACTAAAACTGATACATTAAAGTCATCACAATAAAAACCTTTTTTTTTAAATTTTATATTGTGATCTAAGGGGGCTTTTTTCATAATCTCCATTTCCCTTTCTTATCATTTTTTCACTAAACCTCAATATTCTCAGTTTTATTTATGAATTTGATATTGTTGTAAAGTTTGTAGTTATAAATGTATTATTTTGTTTCTTTGATTATCTATAGATTTTAATGGTAATAAAAGATTGTTTTTGGAATGCAGTTCTTTTCAGTTAGTTTGGTTGAACTAATATCATAAGTCACTCAATCCTCTCTTCTATTTTCCTGTAGCTTTTGAAAGAAAGGTTTCCAAAAATCTGGCTCACAGCTCTTGTTATGCCAATACTGTTATGATCTGATATGGATGTAATCATTGTCAGATTTGTCTGGTTGTTGTTTTTTTTTCTTTCTATGTGTATGATTGGTATAGATATTGTGATGTTATCTTGTTTGTATCCCTTATATTTTGTTGAGTTTTATAATAGGCAGATTCCTTTTATACTGAAACTTATGTAAATGTCTTATTGCCCACTTTTTTGTTTATTCTGTAAGTTTAGTTATTGAAGAGTTTTTCTAAATTGTTTCATTAGCTTTTTATTAAGGATTTTATATTTACTTACAGAATCTGTGTAGTCAAAATTTGTGTTGATACTAGATTAGTTATTTTAAAATAAAGTTGTTAGATTTATTGTCAACTTTTTAAATCCAATTTTATCTATTACTGGCATGCTGTCAGACAGATGGTGTTGTAGGTAAACATCCACAAGCTCCTTGACATTACAATGCTTAATGCTAATTAGTTGGAACAGTAAATACTATCTCATGTAAGACTATAGTAGGCCTTAAGAAATCCTGGGTGCCAGATTGCCATGGAAACTAAAAAGTTCATCGTGGCACCTTGTATTTTCTCCCATTTTATTCATGAGTGGGACTATGGCAAATAGAACTTGAATCTAGAACAGCTCTGGACTCTTGGAAGTCCGGAACTATTTTTGTGTTCTTTGAATCCTAAAATCGAACTTTCTTTCTGGGATTTTATAAGTAGATTCAGCACTTCATGTTTTTTCAGGAATAAAGCACTGAGGTTGCACAACACGTTACAAGTTTCACACCATTTTGTTTTTCTTTTTTCTTTCAATTCATCCAATTAGTGAGTATGTATAGACTCAGACTAGACCAAAGGCAGTTAGTTCAGGTAATACTATCAAGTGGTTTTTGATATTGTGATTGTTAGCATGCAGTTGTTGCTGTGAAAGTAAATAAATATACACTGTAGCCCCCATTTCCCAGTATAAACAATAATGAAGTTGAGTTAGGCATACCTGGCTTCTGAGTTTTTTGGGCGGCTCCTAAATCTTTGTTGAGGCCTGGGCTATAGTTAGCAACTTAATGTTGTAAACAGCAATATTTGCATTATAGAAGACAGAGCTAATGTGAACTCTCGTGTATTAAACCAAGGTAATTCTATAAACCCATAAGTGAAAAAAGGGAGAATTCTGAAAAACCCATAAAATATGAGTATAAATGTGATTGGAATAACCTTAGCAATATTATAGAAGAAAAATATCTTGGTGTTTCAGTTTATCAGTCTCTTAAGCCATCCAAGCAACGTGTTGTTGTTGCTAGTGGCAAAACAAATTTGATTTTAAGTGGTACCTACAGAAATATTGAATACAAGTCTAAAGAGGTTATAATTTCATTATATAGGCATTGGTTAGGACACACTTGGAGTATTGTATTTAGTCTTGTGCTCATTACTTTAGTAAGGACATTGAATTGTTGATATCTGGGAGGCTGGGATGAAATAGTTGTCATAAAAGGACAAGTTAAGAATCTGAACCTGTTTTCTCTTGAAAAAAGAAGAGTTAAAGGGGATCTGATTAAGGTGTGCAAGATTCTTAAGGTAAATGATAATGTTGATGCATCATATTTACTCATTTTTAATGGTAAGACTAGGGAAAACAAATATAAATTTTGGCAGGGGATAAGTCATCTTCAGCTAAGACAGCTTTATTTTTCTAACAGGGTGTTTGCCTTCTGTTGTGGATGCACTTAATTTGAGGGAGTTAAAAGGAAAGCATGATAAATGTTTGAATGATAAAGGCTGACTTTGAAGTATTCTTTTAAGGGGTTAGATTAATTTAGTGGGTAGGACAGTCTAGATGGCCCAAAAAGTCCCTTGCTGTATTTTTATGTTATCTACCTTAATTGCAGAGTTGTTTGCTTCCTCAATCAAAATGGTTAGAAGTGAATAAACAAATGATGGTAAATTGACAAGCTGTGATTAAGAAAGAGTATTACATTTTAAAATAGTGTATTAAGCTGAAGTTCACAAGCTAGAGGCCCATAAAGAAACAACGTATACTTTGTACAGTATCATGACTATGTGAATGAAAAACATGGTCACTTGAGAAAAAACTAGAATTGTTTTTGGGAGGGTCACTAAAATCAAGTAATAAAAGTTATGTGAGGAACCTATAGAAATAAGAAAGGTAATAGAAAATCTCAAAGTCACTATTGTGCTTCTAATGGAAGAGGAGGAAAATTTTTGTTTTTTTATGGTAGAAGGTCTAGCATCAGTGAAGCAAGTATACCAGTGATTAGAAAGTTAGCAACATAATTTCTGGTTTAAAAGAATTGGTCAAGAGATGATAGACCTATTATTTTATCTTCTATTTTAGCAAGATGCTGGAATCTTTTGTCAGAAGTCACTTAGAAAAGCATTTAGAAAGTTAGATTCTGAGATGATACACACCTCTGAACATAATTAAGCTATCTTCCTTGTGCATCTGCCTTAGAGATTTGCATGCCACTAGCCTTTTGGCAACTCCCACCTAATCTCATGAGATTTCTTATGAATTACGCTACTGCATAGTGACATTATTATTATGCAACAAAAGCCTTTTACCAATAGGAGGTGGCATACCTCCTTGCATACAAAGTCTCTCTATGTGTTTGCCCTCATGAATCTTCATTCTTTTCTTCAGCACTGAACACATCAAATGTGTTTTTATCTATTTCAATTTAATAAGATTTGCAATGCTTAAGAAAATTAATTTCCATTTTTTCTTTACAAAC